GTGCGTATTCAAATGCAGCATTGTGTCAAAATTTCAAAGGAATCGGTAGGAACAAACGAACATTACATTTTTATTTATGTAGATAGATAGAAGATGATCTGTTTTAAGTTCATTTTCACAGAAAAGCATAATGCCTCACAGAAAAGCAAACTTAGGGTGTCGTACTCTTAGCGCCATTTGTTGGACATAAAAGCCTTAACCTAGATTATATCTTTTAATTTATATGAACACTTAACGGAATAATATACAGCCTATGTCCACCCTGAAGATCCATTCTAAATATTGGCGAAAGAATTTTTCAAATTTGATGAGTAGTTTCGGAGATTATTCGCTACATCCAAACTTACTTACAAACATTACCTCTTTATAATATTAGTATAGATAACACATAAGTGTACATTAGTAGTTATTAATTAAGTATGATAAAGATGATAAAACTGCCATAATATTATACAGTTAATATTGACATTTAAAAATAATAACTATAAAAATCACAAATTTGTATTGTAAATTTCTCATTATTGTCACATTAATAATTGTGTTTCTGCTGAGTCCTTGTTATAGTTCACTGCTCTGCACTATTATACAATAGATATCACCATATAATAGATAACACACAAACAACATACAGGGAAATGTTTTCTATATGTTGTCTGCTTAATTTTAGATGCTATTATCAACGAAGATCTTCGCACTGCCAGAAGTGCATTAACACATATAAAGTCAAAGGGATTTTTATGCCATCCAATAGAGGCATTACATAAATTGCTTATGATTTTATAATTCATTATTTCAAAATCTTTGTGTAATTTACAACAGATAAATGTGTACTTTATGATAATGAGGTTTTGCATGATGGTTGCTTGAACAGCTTGCTGTGAACTCAACTTCACACAGAACTTTACTAATGGCTAAAATTATTCATTTCTACATCATTTGCTGGCTTCATTTTTTACAAGGGAAAAAATTTGTTTTAAGATTGAAAGTTACTACTAAAAATGCTCAAAAGTTATCACATGTTCAATAAATTGTTACCTAATTTTATGAAAATTATAAAACTTAAGAAGTACTTGTCATTACACTGTAGCTTCTCTTTGCTTAAATCAACCAGTAAAGAAACAATCTCAAATATCTTATAAATAAATACTAATTGAAGATAAAATTCAGGTATGTTAACAAGCACCTGTGCATGTTGTACTGTACATAGTTTGTTGTTGTTAGCACCATCTGTCAGAGCTTGAGAACAAGTTGAAAGTAAAAAGGTGGAGTTGACAGACCATAGGATTAAGAGATCATGGCAGTGTTATGCCAAACCTAAATTATAGTGTTATTCTGGGTGCTGACATAATTCTATCAAGTTTGTTATATATATTATCAAAATTAGTCCAGTTCACCAATTATTAATAGTTAGTAATAGACTTCAAAAATATGTAATTTGAAGTTACATTGTTAATTGAATTATGTTCTTATATGTGAAGTGCATACACAACACATAGATGGTGACATAGAGCATAAGTGCATGTACTGTAATATAAATATATAAGCAAGAGTTTGCTTTTTAATGTATCATAATGTATGATGAACTATGGTTTTCATTTAAATATGTAATTAATAATTAAATTATAATTTTCACTACATTTCTATTCAGAGTATCACCAAAAATTGTCCTGTGTGCTACAGGTTATTGACCCCAGGCCTAGCGTATTTCTCTTTTTCTGATTATATGTTTGTATATATTTAGTTCAATTAAATTAGTCATCCAAATTTGTTTAGCTTCTCATTACTCTTTAAGTTCTTTATTTTCAGTTTGAAATTGAAATTGATGAGGCAAAAGTGTTAAGTTGTATTTACCATAATAAAAAGGAAGTCTTTAATTAAAGGGAGCATTTATGTTTATTTAAATTACACAAACATAAGAAGGTTTACGTTTTGTTTTATTTTCTATGTAAAACAATTAAGAAAAACAACTTTAAGACGACATGACTTCTAATAATGTTTTTGAAGGCCAACACTTGACTTTAAAATACAAACAATTTTTAAAATTTTAGTAGTACAGGTATACCTCGCCTTACGTCGGTAATTGGTTCCAGGAGAACGACTTAAGTCGAAAAACGACGTAAGTTGAATTTACTTGTCTACGAATCTACTTGCCACTAGGCCAAACCATAAATTACCAATTCCCGTTCTGTATTTTATTTATTAATGCATTTTTAATAATATATGGTTAATAAGGATCTATTTTAAGCTTACAAACAAATAAATTTTAGTTTTAAAATAGTACAGAAAAAAGTAATTTAAATTTACGAATGCATGTACTGTAAATACAGTATATACTTGTAAATGTATATATTATAATATGATTTTATGTGCTTTAAACATTTTTCTAGTGATATTATGACTTCAATATTTGTGGCGGACAGAAGTAAAGTCGAATAAAATGACTTAAACCTGATTTTTATTTTTCCATATACTTTTTTGACAAATGGTGTATAATCGGAACGACGTAACTTGAAACGACGTAAGTCGAGGTATACCTGTAGTTAGTTTTAAAAAATCTGAACTCTATAAAAGCAATTTAAAATTTTATCAATTGGTCAAAATTACATAGAATTGTAAACATATGACAATAAAAAAATTATTGATTTATTTGTATGCAAAATGTTTTGAAAATACCTAAAAAATAAAAACTTAAAAAAGGATTCTTTTTACTCTTTTTAAAAAATTAAATGAAAAGGTTTAATTTTTAATTTTCATAACTTTGAAAAAATTTTTATATATCTTATCATCATTTAATTTTTTTTTTGCTCTTTAATAAATTTTGTATCTAAATAAACTTTTAACCCATTACAAAATTAAAATATTTATATTTCTGGTCAACAATTTCTAGTTAAAACAATTTGTCAAAATTGATATTACTTTAAGATTGAACATTAATGATATTTAAATGTTATGTCTTTTTAATTTATTTCTAGAACTTTTACAATTGGATGTATTCTGAAAATGAAACAAAGTGATTTCAAAAATGTTAAATAATTAATATTGTGAATTTTTATAAGGTCACATTTGTTATTTACAATATGTGGTTTATTTTTAGAGATATGTTTATTTTTGTACCTAACAATTATTTTAGATATCTTTCTATATAATGAACATATTAAATTTAAATTATTATAATTAATTTATGATAATTTATTTGATAAAATGTGTTAGGGAAAAACATAATGAAAAATGTAATAAAAATTCTGTTTATAACATCTGAGTATGAAAGTTTAAATTTTTCTTGTACTATAATATAGTGAAGAAAGTTGATAAATAATTAAGATTAAAAGCATAAAAGCATAGCATTCCATTGAAGTCAATACACAAATCAAATGGAAAGTTTGGAACTTTATTTTTTTATATTGTGTAATTTACTTTCTATACTGTATTTCTATACTTACTATTATTATTTATTATTTAGAAATATGTATAATACAATCTCGCTGATTCAAACTAATTATTATAAGGAATCATTTTGATTAGTGAAGCTACATACAGAGAAAAGGAAATAAAAAAGCACTATAAATAAATACTTGCATTTTAAAAACTTCTATATCAAATCTGGTTTAAAAATTTGTTTTAATTTTATGAATTATGTTTTGAATAGATACTATTATTATTTATTATTTAGAAATATGTATAATACAATCTCGCTGATTCAAACTAATTATTATAAGGAATCATTTTGATTAGTGAAGCTACATACAGAGAAAAGGAAATAAAAAAGCACTATAAATAAATACTTGCATTTTAAAAACTTCTATATCAAATCTGGTTTAAAAATTTGTTTTAATTTTATGAATTATGTTTTGAATAGATAATCTGATTTTATTTTTGTTGTTGGCTGGAACATTTAGCAAGAAAGCTAACTAAATTGAACTGGATTGGATTAAGCAGAATTTGGATCAGCCCTGTTTCAGAATAGCGAGAGTGTGCTATCTTAAAATTAATAGTCCTATTTAATAACTTAAATTTAAATTATAATTTTCTTTTTATCTGGATTTGTTTCAGCAGGCTGCTGCAGATCAGTCTGATTCACTGTATGGCTCTATGACTAGTCCTAATAGTACTGTCTCTTCTGGAGCTTCATCATCTCCGGATAGAGGACAAAATCTTTCTCCAATTCAGAAGAAGTCTCCTTTGCTTTCGTCATTGATGGAAAATGCACCTTCTCCGGTTATGACTACGATGAATGCCGTTTCACCGCCGCATTCATCTGTCGTAACAAGCCAGGTATGGGCTATGGTAAGGCTTTCTTAATTTTATTTATTTGAATTTAAAATATTTTATAATTGAACTTTCTAATTAATTTTGTTATGTAACATAATTTCTTGTACAAGAACAATTAATCTTCCATATACAGTCCCATACAAAAGTTTTGAAACAGTCAAAGTTAGAGATTGACACTTATGTTAGTAAGGTAATAGTTATTATTTACTAAAAAGAGTGACAGTGATCATATCTTAAAACCTACAAAACAAAGAATAACATATATCAACAGCAATATACAACCCCAGCAAAAAAGCCTCAGACAGCATGTTATTTTAACCCTTCTGACCCGCCCACTTTTTATAGAATTTTTAATTAAGCATAATTAAAAATTAAGCATAATTAAGCAAAATTCTATTAATCATAATTAAAACTGAAAAAAAAAAAACGAAAGAAATGCGTTAATTTTGAAGAAAGAGCTGCCAAGTTTAAGTTCCTTTGTCTGGCCTTTCTGCAAAATTTAACACCAATGAGTCATTGTTTACACAGCTGGATGACCTTGAGAACAGCTGGAGTCGGATTTCCTGGGGCATTCTCATAGACGTCTCGGGAGGACAAGGGTTTAAAGTAGGGTGACTACAAACTAGGCCTATATTTTTTAATATTTTTAAAAAATTAAAATTTTAATTGCAATTTCCGACCCCCCCTAATTAATTAAATTTATATAAAATAAAATCTATTAATTAAAAAAAATTAAAAACTTTTGGAGGTCGTTTTTGGCATAAAAAATTAGCTTTAAATAACTTTACCGAAGTCAAATCCGTGCACTACAACTTAGGAACCATGAATGAAATTTGATAAAAAACTCCCATTAAAAAACAATTAATTGTTAATTACGCGTCATTAAAATCGTGATAAAATTTTTTCGTGCAGGAAAAAAATTTTGAAAAAAATTGGAGACTTAAAAAACATAAAAAAATTTTTTTCAAAAATGGCTTTAAGGACTGGTTTTTTGGAATGCTAAGGACCACGCTCGAGTCTGACTCGAGCTTGGGCATGAAGGGGGTTAATTAATTATTATTTATTAAATTAAAAAGTGACAGAATTATAGCTCAAAAAATTTGCATGGTATTAGGTTATATTTTAAAGAGAACAAGTTAATGATTTATATTTTATAAATAGTATGTCTTATGATTTAAATCTGAATTATGACGTTTGAAACAATAAGATAACTTAAAATTTGACATTTTAATTTATATGATGATGATGATGATGATTTGCATTTTATCTAGTATAATTTATATAAAATTGAAAATATTTTATCTAGTATAATGAGAAAAAAATTTAGCTAATATAAAGTTTGCATTAGGATTATTTTTTTTGTCTGAAAGTAAATTTTAAGAAAGGTGTAAAACTGGGTGTTTATTAACAACTTTAACCCAAATTTATTCAATAAAAATTTTCATTTTTAGCCAATATCACCTACTGCAGCCATTCATCAGAGCTCACCCATGGTTCAGACCAATATGATGGATGTGTCAACATCGAATATGACACAACAAATCTCGTCTCCACCACTGATGCAGTCGTCACAAGTAATGCAAGCAGTTCAAAATAACAATAACAACTTGAATCAGTCAATTGCTAATTCTCCATATACACAAAATATGGTGAATTCAGTAAGTAAATTTTTATCTTCATTTCATTTTTCTAATTGAATCAGTATCAGTTTACATAAGGGAAAATTTTTATGAAGTCAGTAAATTTTTGAACAAAAATAATGTGCTGTTTGATATGTATTCACTGTATATCAATATGGTGTAATTTAACAAAATGAAGTAAAATTATCAGCAATTTATTATAGTTACAAAATAATTTTTTTAGAATTTACAAATCTAGAAATAAATATTTTATTTAAATGTTGCATCTTTTTAATTGAAATACATATTAACATAAAAAACAAATTTCTTTAACAAAGATTAAAAACTCCAGGATGAAATACAGTGAACTCTCATATAATGTACTCCCCTATAACATGAATTTGTCTAATAGAATGAAAACATTTGACTAGTACTCATACAAAATTCTAATTTTGTTGTCCAGATATGATTTTTCTTTAAATTCATGTTTTTAAATTTAATTTAATAATATGTTTTTTAATTTTGTCATCTGTATACTTTTACTTCTTCTAGGCCTGGGTTTAAACTTGCATAAAATCGTCTGATAATGCATGTTTATAGCCTGGAACATATCCCCCATGTTGTACAGGACTCTGCTGTATATTTTAAAAATGTACAGTATTGAAGACTAAATACAAAACAATAATTTTTTGAAGTCTTCTGAACAGCAATTTACAATCACCAGAGCATAATTAACATTAGCAGAGTCAGTTTGTCTGTATGGGCTCTTCACCAGTTATACTTATGAAAATTGTTTAAAAGTTGGTGATGTTGGCTATTTATCAAAGTTTCTTTGTAAAATAAAGATTTAAAAAAATCTGTCAGTGATTGTGAATGGACATTAAATACAAAAATACAATTTTTGAAGTCTTTTTAGTCTTCTATATTGTACAGTTTTCAATTTATTTAAGTTGTTATTCTTAATTGTATCTATTAATTTTCAAGATAGACAGTAGAAGTAAAACTTAATTTTAATTCGTTGTATGCTTTATATACTACACAAATGCATAGTATTTAATCTTTTTCTTTCTTTCTTTCTTTGTCTTAGTTGTTTCCCATGTTTATATGGAGTCAGCATTTCCATCTTTACTTTGTCTTCTCCACTTCTCTTTATCCAGGGCATAGCTCTCACCAAATCTTCTGCCAACTTGTCTCCATCTCTGTGTCAGTCTTCTACTCTTCCTCCCTATCACTTCCAACTTCCCAATTCTTTTTCCAACATAGTCCTTGGTTCTCTCCACATGTTCAAACCATCTTAATCTACTTTCCTGCATCTTATAGGACTCATCTTGACTGTTCCTCTTTTGTAATCATTCTAATTTTGTCTTTCATTACACCACACACTAGTCATTCATCTCAGCTGTCTTCATCTTTTCCTGGACTTTTGTAATTTCCCATGTCGCAGCACTGTACATCAGATGCAGATCTTAACATGGTTTTGTATAATCTTTTCATTTTGCAGCTTTTTTCTTATCACAAACACCCCACTGTTCTTTTTCCAGTTCAGTCATCCACTCTGAACTCTACACTAGATTTCAGCATTCATTCCTCCATCACTTGCAACATGTGATCCAAGATACTTAAATTTGGAAGCTGTTATTAACTTTTAATCCTTGTTTTATATATAACTCTCATTCCCTCTACCAGATGTCATATATACTGTCTTTGTTCTGCTGATCTTCATGACTCTCTTTTCCAGCACATTTCTTCATTCCTCCAGCTGCTTCTCTACTTTATCTAGGAATATTTCACACAATACAATGTCTTCTGCAGACAGCATACTTCATAGTGCCTTGCTCTTTATATCTTCCAGCAATACATTCATCACCAAATCGAATAAGAATGGGCTAAGAGCTGAGCCCTGGTGCAGTCCATCTCTCATAGTGAATCCCTCTGTCATAGCTACACTACTCTTTACTTGAGTCACTGATCCCTTATATTTTTCCTTTACAGGTTTTACATACAATTCTGATATTCTGTTTACCCTCATACATCTCCATACCTCCTATTTAGGCATCCTATTTTAAGCTTTCTCCAGGTCTATCTTGCATCTTTCTGTACAGTACCTTTCCATTAGCTGCTTTACAGCACATTTGTTGTTCCTGTTTCCAGCACAAAACCAAACTGCTCCTCACCTTTAATTGCCTCCTTCCTTTCACAATTCTCTCCCAGATCTTCATTGAGTGCAACGTCAATTTAATCCCTCTGTAATTCCCACATTCCTGCACATCTCTTTTTCCTTTATAAATTGGCACCAAATATTTTTTTCCCGCTCATTTTGTATCCTTTCGTGCTTCCACATATTTCTCATACAATATCACCCTCTTTGTCCAGATATCTTCATACCTCAGCTAGCATCTGATTGGCTTCTGTTGTGTTCTATTCTTCATTTTTTTAAAGTGCCCTTTCTACCTTCTTGCTTATATTTCGATCAATGGATTGGGAGGAATTGACCGACAGCACAAACACTTCATTCACTTCATGACTTCTTATGGAATTATGTTAGGGACATTATTTTTTGACATCTCTTACAATAAGAAACTGAAAGCAATAATGATAAAAGTTATAGAGTCAGTCTCCAAAGAGACAATGAAAAAGCATAGAAAGTATTTGAGTGTTGATTCAATGTTCTCTAGACCACAAATAGTGTACACATTGAATTGTACTTACCTAGAGGAAAAACTTAAGTTGAACTATTTGCTGCAAATGGTATGTTTTTGCACAGTAGATGTTTGTAATGAGAGAAATACTGGTTATTATGTATTTATGTTTAACTTAGGTAAAAGGAAAAATATGTAGTTAATGTCTAATTATTCCAAATAATTATTAGGTTCGCAAATTATTATTTGATATTAGTAATGATTTTATGTTATTGGACAAGACAACTATTTATTTATCAAATAGTTACACTGCTTTTATTTAAAGTTCTTGTATATTTTAGTATCATTGACTATGCATTTTATCCACCTGGTTTAGTTGCAGTTTTATTTGTTTATGTTTTGGTAATAATTTGTATAGGCATTTTCAACTAAATATAGAAAAGTTATATCATTATACTATATAGCTTCAGTGTGAATGTTCATGCATAGTTCAAGAAATTTGTGTGTGTTATTGTGTGGGAGCTAGTAAGCTAACTGCACCTAAACTGGGGTCTACAAATAATGTCTGTAGTACTTATCATAAACAGTACTACTATAATAACTATATGAAAAATATTAACAGTTTCTACAACTGAAAATTTTAACTCACAATTATGATTTCTCTTTAGCCATCTCCACCACATATACCACAAAGCAGTAACTTGTCTCAGCTTCCAATTAGTCAGTCTCCCTTACAAACTTGTCTCCGACATGGTTGTAATAATCCACCAATTGATTCGCCAGACTGGGACAGAGAGTATTGCAGTAATGAATGTGTCGTTTCTCATTGTCGGTAAGTATTCAATTTAATACAATAAAATCTTGTATGATCTAAATTTTTTCAAAACTAAATTTAACATAAGCAAGATTTTTCTATTTCTAAACTACAATTTTATGTAGTATAAAAATTGTTGTATGACAAAATGAAAATTCATTTGGTCAGAACATTGGTTAGTAAGCAGTGGCGTAACTAGAGTCAATAGATACATTGGTCCCTCGGCTACCAATAGCTCTAATGCTAAAAATGCAGCTTAATGAATATTTCTGAGGGTTCAAGTGTCGTAATCGCTTTGTGGCAAAGCTTGACTCGAGGGTTGCCAGAATCCGCCATGAGCATTTTTAAAACAAATTTTTTTAAATTCAGTTATTGCTGTTGTCCTTTTTTTAAAGGAGTGCTTGTAAGTACTAATGTAATTCAGTTTTGTACATTATTTATTCATAACTCACTTACATTAATAATTCTGTTTACTGGCACAGGCATGATTTTAGATGTTAAATTTTAGATGGTTTGCTTTTGCTCACAATTTGTGTTCATTCTGAAATATTTTGGGGTTTTTATAACTGAGAAGAAAAGATAGTAAAAAAAAATTATCTTTAGACCTATTTATACATTATTAATATGGGATGCCTTTGTTATTCCCAAGAAGTTTTATCTTTTGAGTTTGGAAGATTGGTGAGAATTGTGTAAATTCAATTATGGAAATGTGTAGAAATGTTAAACCAAATGTTAGGATAGATTGAAGTGTTACAAAAAGGGGATTTAGGGTGGATTTGGAATTTATCAAGGTTTAACTTTAAGCCTGCATCTTTTTTTATTAACATTAGATGAATTATTACAGGATGCAGTGAGAAAGGAGCTATGATATTTGCAATTGATATTGTGTTTGCTAATAAGATAGAGCATAATTAAAAGTTGAGTCAGGAAAGGTTAGGAACAGATTAGAAAAGGGAGAATTAAACTTCAGTAGAAGATTTAGTTTTTGGCATTCAGATATAGAATGTTAGAAGAAAACAGAGGGAATAGACTTCTGGATGAGTTACAAAAATGAAAATTTTAATTATTTATGGTGATATTCACTGGTAAATAACCAGCTAGAAGTTGACAAATAGAATATAGGATGGCAAGAACTGAAATAATAATAGATATTGACATTGATAGGATATAATATAATACCAGTATCGTATAAAAAAGTTACAATACCGGTATTTTAGATATACACAAAGGAAAGGTGTAGATAGGCTATCAATAAATTGCATTTGTGTTCTACTTTTGACGGTGCAGAATATCTTATAAACTACCAAGTAGACTGGATGCAAATATCATAAGAAATGTAATTTTCTACATCAAAAATGCAAAACTATTTCTCACTGTAGTATCAAATACAGTAAAATTGTATAGTTTATGTAGTATTAAATTTGTACTGCCGTTTAAATGCATAGGAGGATAAACTATGGTTTTCACAATTATATTGTCATACAACAGAAAAATGCAAATGCACTTATTTATTAAATAGATACACTATATTCAGAAACAAACCATTATGTACAAAACTGGAATACACAATATGTAGCAGCATAACAGTTTTAAGTAGGAAGATTTAAAAAATAATTTAATTTATCAACATCCTCATCTTTCAAATCACCTTTTATTTGTGTATACAGAATTATAAAATTTAATTATTAATAAGATTTTTCTCGATACAACCATAGAAAAAAATTACAAAACTGCTGGAAAAGGGCAAAACTAACCATAGATAAAATGGCCTTTTCTCTCCACAAAGCGACTGGAGTGTCAGGTAGGAGCCACCCAATACATTAACTCTAGAATGTAGGACTGGTATATAACACATGTGACTAGATATCCAGATGGCACAATGCGCTGATTGGTCAGCTGAATGATGTCAACCCACCAAAATCGATTAGCCTAAACCAGGGATGGCCAACAGTTTTTGCCCCGGGCCGAATTGGAAAGTAAACTTTTTCCATGGGATGAACCAGAGGTTGTCCCCTAGGAAGATTTTGAGATGGTGCAAGATCTCATTGTGGTGTCACCCTGTAGAGACTAAATTGTAGATAGAGATTACAGATACATTTTTCACATTATCATGCTTTATCAACATTCTACGCTGTACTTACGAGATTTGTAATGGAAGGCACAGTGAACTCTAAACGCACAGTGAGTTGTTGACCCCCCCTTTTTTTATTTTAGGCGTCAGAATTTTTCATTGTGCTATTCGGACTTTAGTAGCTAATATTGAAAGATTTATCGTGGGCCACATAAATTTGTTAGACGAGCTGGATCCGGCTTGCGGGACATATGTTGGCTATGCCTGGCCTAAACATTGTGTTGTTGTTGTGAGAGCAGGCAGACATTATAGTTATAGACATTTTTTCTAAAACTTGATAAAAGGCACTTATTTATAATTTCACTAACTCTTGATTGTGTGTATTGACATTAATGTTAAAATTATTCTTTATTAGACAATACAGTATTTTTAACCTTACAGAAACTTGCATTTAATTTATATATATAAATATTACAACAGAATATGCTAACTGGAAATGAAAATTAGTTAACAATTTAATATATATTTTCACCTAAATATAATTCATACTTTTTAATGCATAATTGTTAAAACATTTTGTAGAAAAAATAAATTATTTAAATTCTCTAATCCATTGGTTTGCTTTTCAAATCAAATCCTGTGGAAACTTAAATATAGACACTGGATATCACTTCACTTTATATTTTCCTACACAACTATACACCACATACAAGGCATCTAGAAATGGTTATTTATTAGTATGCTAATATTATTTTAACAAAAAATAAAGGGTTAAAAAAATAGCTTACTATGAAAACATTACAGGACAAATACAACATTACTTTTTCCTGATACTTATATTCATAAACAATTTCATTGATGAAATGTATGGAAATTCTTATTTAAAACATATTATATTCAAAGGAATTTAAATACTTACAGTATTATTGGTTGTTAAATAATTTATATAAGAATTCTATACTTTTAATTTGAAAAATGGTCATACAAATTTGATTAAACATATTTACAGATGTATCCATGATGGAACTGGATATATGAAATTTCTGTAAATTTGAAAAGTATTGTTTCTTAACAGATTTTGAAACTGACATTCAAAAGCACAAAATGTCTATTGACAGAAAGAACTGTCAATTCTAAATAAAGCATTAAAAAAAATTTTCTGATAGTAATCTATGGAGAATATTCTTTATTGAAAATTGTTCAATAACTTTTGCATTTAAACTTTATAATTTGTTAAGCAAAATTTGTGAAAATTTCCTCATTCAGAGGTGTTAAAAATTAGTTAATTATATAATTTTATTGTTTTATCTAACTATATTAAATGCATTTGACAAATTAAAAAAAAATATTCCGACTTGTCTTAATCATAAAAATTTCATCCTTTCCTGAACTTTTTATGAATAATATCTGTAACAAAGTATAAATTTTCTGTTATTTATTATCTATGCACTNTATTAAATGCATATGACAAATTTAAAAAATATTCTGACTTGTATTAATTATAAATTTCATCCTTTTCTGAACTTTTTATGAAAATATCTGTAACAAAGTATAAATTTTCTGTTATTTATTATCTGTGCACGTATATTTAAATTTAAAGAACTAATCACACTATTAAAATTATCTATTGTGTATGATTTGATTCAGAGGTGCATAAAGATCAAGTATGAAATAAAAATAATAATCTTAGTAATTTATTAAGTAAAAGTAAACCATTTTAAAATTAATCCTATAAATTTAAGAAAATATGCAAGCTAAACCTTATAATGTATTTTCACTTTATTCTCACTACATATTACGACAACTAAAGGAAAAAATTTATTCCGGCATGACTTCTTCCTACATAACATAATCAATCAGCATTTCCTATTTCGGTGGGTTGACGTCATTCAGCTGACCAATTAGCTCTTTGTGCCATCTGGATATTTAGTCGTACGTGTATATAACGACTCCGGCATATCTAGGCGGCATGGAACCACGCAGCGAGGGGGAGTCTGAAGTCTAGAGATGTCGCACTTTTAGATTTTTTTAAAAATTATATTAATATTTTTTTTTATTTGATGGTCATTATTTTCTCTTACGGGGATCAGAGTCATCCTTGTCTCGCTATCGCACCACAAGGAGCATATACAGGTAACCCCCGTATAACACGGCACTTCTATAGCACGGATTCACTCTAACACGGTTCGAGAATTGGTACCATCCCCTGTATAACACGGCACTTCTATAGCACGGATTCACTCTAACACCGTTAGAGAATTGGAAACATCCCCCGTATAACACGGTTAAATTTTATAGCACAGGTTTACTCTAACACGGTTCGGGAATTGGGTAAAACCCTCGTACAACATGAAATGTAACATATCTTTTATACTTCCGCGTAACTCCGCACGAGCATTCTAATTGTTTTCATGGCTACTTTGAATGCTCTTTCAACAATAATCCATTTAATGGTTAAATTTTATAATTGGGACCCTTCTTTTGCCTCTGAAAGCTCATTTTAGAATTATAGATTCCTCCACACGATACTATCGATAGTGCGGTCGCCGCCATCTTTCTTTCACCGTCATTCTTAAATGCCTACAAAGAGCAGCGCACTCCCGTTGCAGAGCGACCGCTATTAATAAACACACCCAAAAACTATTACCAGTTGATGATGCTCATGCTGAGATCATCATATAAAATGAATAATCCTCTGGTAAAATATTTACTTAAATAATAAATAAGTATGAAAAATCTATGAAACTATGAACCTATGAAAAAAATGAATAATAAATCCGATTTAAATAAAGATTTAACAGTATGGTTTTTAATTTTTGGAACCTAACCCCTTTTCGCACTAGTTCTTTGTTTCGTATAACACGGATTCGCATAAAACGGCAATTTTTGGGAACGTAACTCCCGTGTTATACGGGAGTTACGTTCCAAAAATTAATACAGGGTAAATAACTGTATTAATATTATTAAAATTGCATGTATTGTTATCAAATAGCGTGTTTTCTACGGAAAAAAAAATGATGGAAAAATTACGATAGGCCCACCAGTGGCCAAGCGGTCTTCGTACCCTGAACATTGGGAGTTCGGTCGTGGGTTCGCGCCTAGCTCGGACGGTGGAGTTTTCCGGGTTTTCTCTACGTCTAACGCCTAAATAGGGGCTCGTTTCCCTTCAAAAAACCTCCCGGAAGGCACCTCCCTAGGCAGATCGCCCAAGTGTTGCCTTGCCATAACTTTAAACAAACAAACAAAAATTACGATATTCATTTTTTCTTAGTTTGGTGGAGGGAGACCGAAAATTACAATTACGCCACCTGCAATAAGAGAGTTAACCTTTATTTCATCAACATACGTACTGTACTTTACGTCCCAAAATTACGAAGTAATTTTTGTGACAGAAAAGCCAGTTGGATGCATGGAATCCGACGAGCGGCAGACCTTCCGGGTGGAAATTTTGCTCCTGTTAAAAACGATTTTCTGCCCTGCGAGTAAAGCATTAATGCGGAGAACGTCCGACGAACTATTTGTTAAGTCTGGGCAGCGAGTTTTACGCAATTCCGGCAGAAAATCTGAGAAGTAGAATTTTACGCGCCGGGCCTAATTTACGCCCGACGAATTTATTTTTGAACAGAAAAATTCGTCGGGAGGTCTGAAACTAATTTAATTGTAATTCTGTTCGGACGACGAAATGCGAAATATCTTTCCTTATTACGTAGCTGGCCCCGGGTCGTCCGACGATTTCGTACGGGATCCCGCCGTTAGAAAATCTGGAATAGACGCATTAGCACACAATTTCACGGTTGGCGGCAAAATTTTTCGGTCGCGGGATTAAAGTTTTATACGTTTTTTCGTTGCAGGGACGTGTTTACCGCCTGGGTAGCCTCTAGACAGGCGGCTAACAGTTACGCTTCCGTGAAATAAGGCGGAAGCCGGGTCGAGGACGACGTAAATATACGCACAGGAGACACCGGCGAAACGGTAAAAACGTCGACGACGGAAGGAAGAAGGCCGCGAAGAAGGAAACGGATGGTTAACGCCGGGAGAGAAGAAAAGGCGGTACGAGTTACGACCCGAGAAATTTCTATCGACAATTATTTTCTAACCGTTCGCTCGTCCCGGGAAAACGTTGTGCCCGTTAGTCGGTCGGTCCGAAACGTAATGGAAAATGTAGACGACGCCCGAAAGAGAACTTTGCCTGACTTCGGACGTCTGCCCTTTGGACCTCCGCGGGTCGTTCCCGGCCCGGACGAAAGGCTAATTAGTTTTGGGCATAGACGTCTTTTAGTGACGGCGTTAGCTACTTAGTCCTCTTTCACGTCGTATTCACCGAGCACGAAGTTAGTGGGAGAAGCGCGACTCGTGCCCATCTCCTCCGCCGCAATTATTCCATTTCGTTTCCAAGTAGAAAACTCGACTTTCCGGTCGCCACTTTTACCGTTTGTATTCTTCTTTTTAGTTTTGTAAATACCTGGCCGACCGTTTTCGCCGGGAAACTCGACTTTTTGCGGGAAACGACCCGCGCACGTCGAAACGTTTATATATTTGGAGATGTCGTGTCCGTTCTGTATTCCCTATTTAAATAAAAAAAAATTGGAATTTCGTTTTGCCTTATCTCTCTATCGTCTTTCCACAGCCTACCGGCTCCGACTTTGGACCCGCGGTGGCGTAAAAGTCTCGGCTAAACCATTCCGCCGAAAATTATACGCCTCCTTCCCCTTTCAAAAAGTCTAACGGATTTGCGAAATATTGCGGGGGACCGGGATAAATTAACCTTATCCGGACGGCTAAGCGCGCTCTGCAACCCGCTTTTACCACCAGTCGACGTCTCCGGTCGCCGTGGTAAGAAATGTCATATTTAAACTTATTCCGTTAATTTTTCCCACGTTTTTCCCTGTTGGGGATTGTGTTTCCGGAGTGCGAAAGTATCTGATCGGCGGAATGAGGGTTCCCGGGCGTTAATTTAACCCGAAGACCGCGAAGCGCGTTTTCGTCCGCGAAAGTTTCGAAAGCGCCTACGAATAAACGAAACCTTATGGCCACGTTTATTCTGCAGGGAAGAAGAGTTAAGGGACGAAATATTTCCGGTCGCTTTCATGGCGATTTTCTTATATAGTGCCAGACAAAAAAGATAACTTAAAATTTCGAAAAATAAACTTGGCAAACGCGAAATTACGGTACTCTAAACGTTTTGTCGGAGGAGTCTTCGATTTTTCCCGGATCCGGGAATAATCGCTTCCGAGTTATTAATCTCCGTTTATAGTAATTGGATTATATTCGGTTTTTAATGTCTAGTAATACGAAATAATCAACGGATACCATCCGCACTCAAAATCGTGTACTTGGATTTAAAAACAGGTTTATAATTCCTAATTACACTCTAAAGCCGGATGCACGCATACGGCGCGACAAGGAAAAGCGGCAGGATGACATCACTTTTTCTCGCCGCAAAAGTTGGTTGAATTTATCTTTTGCGGCAACCGCCGCCAAGACGCGTTTCTATCAGCCAATAACAGTTCGTCTGGTAGTCACGTGAGAAAATACAATCACATGGTGTTTTAATGGCGGAAAGTTCGACGTCGTTAACTGAGATAACTACCATCAGAATAAAGAGGAAAGGATAATAAATTTAACTAATAATAATATATAATTTAATTCAAAGAGTAAAGCAACTGAATCTTACTCGAAATAGTATTCTTTATCGAGAGACCTTATTCGACGAATAAGCGTATTTTGTACACCAGTTCTTTCTCCATCCAAGAAAATATCTATACAGTAATCCAAAATGTAGCTAAATAAAGCAAGCTGTACAAAACAAAATTTGTAAACACGTGGATAGCGGCACTGTCGGTATCGTTCGCCATCTTGAATATTGAACGCATGCGCCGAAATGTAAACGGATTTTTTTTTTAATACTCTCTGCCCTGTGGGCACTAAGAGGGCCTCTTTTTGCAGGCTTATTATGGGTTCAGCCAGGCCCACAATGCGGCTGCCAGGTGGTGAGGGACGGGGTCCGACATATCCGAACTGACCACCACCGAAAAATTACTGGGGATTTTTCGACCCGTTCGGATTCGAACCCGGGTCCCCCAGAGCGGTAGGCTGCCACCTTGACCGATCGGTCATCCGGCCGCAATGTAAACGGATTGCCGCTTGTTTGGTTGTGCTGCCTCGCGGTGATGATGCGTTTGCGACACCGCTTTTCCTTGCCGCGTCGTATGTGTGCATCCTCCTTAAGTCTACTTTTCTGGCGGAGACTACGATCTAGATTTCATCCTCAGAGTCTCTGCTAAGTCCGGCGTTTTAGGAGAGACCCGTATCCGCCGTTTTTCCCGTTCTTAAATCCGATCAACGCACGCATTCAGAATTTAATTGCGACGTGCGATAGGGTTGCCCTAAACCCTGGTACTCGCATGCGGAAATGGTAAGCTAAAAATTGCCGTTCCGTCTTTCCGCGTCGCGTAAACTGACGTGTGAAAATTACCGTACCAAGGTTTTTTTAAACTCTTCTCTGTGGGCACTAAGATGGCCTCTTTGCAAGTCCATTACGGATTCGGCCAGGCCCACAATGGAGCCACCGGGTGGTGAGGGACGGTGGTCTACATATCCGGTTGGATCACTCTCCCCTAAAAATTCCTGGGGGTGTTTTCGACCCGGCCGGTTTCGATTCCGGTCTCCCAGAGCGGTAGGCTGCTATCTTGACCGCTCGGCCGACCGGGATTGCTTTGTTATATCAATTAAACTTTCTAAGTTTGCTTACCATCTTTGCAAATAAAAAAGCACAAAATCGAAGAATTTGGATAGAAAAAGGAATCTAAATTGTTGAAAGTTAGGAATATGGAATACTTATCTGAATTACGATTATGCCATTCCCAATACTTTACGCAATAAGTACTGTACATCTATTCGAGTCTCACCAGTGGCCAAGCGGTTCCGTTCCCTGAACACTGGTAGTTCGGTCGTGGGTTCGCGCCTGCAACGACGGGCTGGACACGTGGAGTTTTCCGGGTTTTCTTTTCTTTTTTTTTCTCAGATGTTGATATGGAGATTTTAGCTCTTATAGGCTCTTTCTCCGACTAGACATATAGTTATGATCGCTATGCGACCGAAGAGCTAGCCGTATCCGAACGGCCTATACGCGCGCGCGGAAAATAATGCCTTCCGGGAGGACTTTTATGGGGAACTGGCCTTCTATTCAGTCGTTATTGGCAAGGAGAAAACCCGGAAAACTCCAAGCAGCCAGCCTGTCCGATCGCGGCGCGAACCCACGACCGAACTTCCCAGTGTTTAGGGTCTGGTCACCGCTATGAGCGGCAACGGAGACCACTCGCCCTTCCGGGTTTTCTCCACGTCTATAACGCTTAAATAGGAGCCAGTTTTCCTTAAAAAGTCCTCCCTGAAGTCATTCCCTCTAGTCAGATCGCCCAAGTGTTGCGTTGCCATAACTTGACAGACAGATAGTGAAGTAAAACAGTATTGTTGTTTCTTAAATTAGCAGCAAGTTACAATAGTTATTTAAATTAATTTTCATTTACATCAGAAAAGCAATTAACATGAAGTTAAACAGACAAATAACACCTTATCTTTGCCGAGAAATGTAATTTATTTCAAAAACAAACGTTTTCAGCCTCATTTACAGGCCATCCTTAGGTTTAGAACGAAATTGGAACTAAAGCATTCCATTAATAGAATACAAAATTCAAATTAAAAAATTAAATAACCAACGGAATAATATAAAAATAAAAATATGTACATAGAAGTACAGTGGTACGGCACCACTGATACCTCAGGATACGAACGCCCCAGCATACGAAATTTTCAGGATAAGACACGAAATTCGAACATATTTTTGCTCCACGATACGAAAAAAAAACTCACCATACGACGTTACATTAGTTCGCAGCGCCATTTTTTATTCACTTCTATTCATTGGTCTCAGTCCTCGTGTTTGCTTCGTCGTGGAAGGATCTCACTCGATAAACGAAATCTTGAGGTATTATGAAAAAGTGACTGATTTTATTGAAAAGAAACATCCCGAAAAGGTTCACACTGGCCGTAATGCTGCTCGGAGTAATGACATTTGCCTAATCATTTTAGAAACATTTTAAAAAGTAGGCAAAGCCAAACCTCTTTGGATAGATATTTTACCAAGCGACCTCTTTCCAGTGAGTGAAAGTGCTGGTGGAAGTGAAGGAAAGAAAGCAAAAAAGCAATAAATAAAAATTTTAAAAAATATATAAAAGAACAATATTTTTTAAAAATCTTTTCTGTTATTTTTAAGTTATTGTTACATTATGTTAAGTTTTAGTATCATTTCCCTTCTCTCTGTCCTCCGCCACCAGTTTACACCTCCACCGTCTTCTATCCTCAAAGGTAAAGTGCAAATAAAACTACATTTTTTTTATCAATTATTATTCTATTATGGTTATTTACACATTTACAACTACAAAACGCATTTTTCAGTGTTTTTCCTTACTCTAGTTATTTTTTTAATGTACAGGGTGTCCATCATGAACCTGACACATTTGAAACTGTTGAAAAAAATCTATCGTTCAAGAAGGATGTAAAGTAATGCACATTTTATGATGAAAAACTCAAAAAGTTTTATTAAAAACATCAGTGAACCTCTACATGAGCTCCTTTTGTTACATGTAGAACATTGAGTCTATACTCCATTTCCTGCCAGGTTCTTTCAAGCATCTCGGGCGTGACAGCAGCCACAGCATCGTGAATGCGCACATGAAGATGTTGAAGGTCACAAATTTTGAAACCAGTGTAAGCATTGTCCTTGACAAATCCCCAAAAGAAAAAGTCTAAGGGCTTAATATCGGGCGATCGATGAGGCCACGGTATCGGTCCTCCGCGCCCAATCCAACAATCAGGAAACTGTGTCAAGGAAACATCGAACATGAAGGCTCCATTGTGGAGGGGCACCATCCTGCTGGAATCACGGAATTTGTTTCAGCGTACCACTACACAACTTGCGCCGCTCTTGTGGAGAAGCCATTGTGTTTGACTACTGCCACGCCACCTACAGTCACTTTGGTGGGTTTTCAAAAATTACCTATACAACTTCCACAGTTTCTCCACCTAATGGAATGCATGACATCTGATTAATGCCTTGCGCTTTGATATGGAATTGAAACAAATGTCAGGTTCATAGTGGACATCATGTACTATTTAGCTTTAATTTGAGTGTTTTTCATGTTGGACGAATCATTTGGTTTTACATGTAATCGTATCGGTAAAAATGATTCACCTTACGACGTTTTCATGATACGATCTCAGTTTCGGAACGGATTAATTTAGTATCCTGAGGTACCACTATTAAGAAATGCAGTTACTAACAAACAACATAACACCTCTAACCAAAATTACTATTTTAACTGATTAAAGTACTTAGCAAATTTTTTAACCAGTGGCGTGCCGTGACATTTGATGATAGGGAAGCTGTGTTTCTATAAGAAGCCGATTTCCAGGGGCAATCAGTCAGCAATGGTCTACGGTCCATTCGTATTCGTTTGTTCGATAAGCCAGTAAAAACCGTAGACTTCTCTAAATGTATTTTTAATTAATAGATTATCTAACGCACTTAATAAATAA